TGCTCCTCGGCGTCATCATCGACGGCGTCGGCACAATCGACGAGGGCGGCGCCCCAACGGACACGGGCGAAGCCATCTCGGACCCGTACAACTCGTACCGCCCCTGCGTCGTCTCCTCCTCGGACCCGGGCGTCTGCATCTCCCTCGGGCCCCCTTCACGCCCCTCCTCCGGCACGGAAGTCACGCTGTGGCCGTACCCGTGGCCGTGACCGTACCCGTACCCGTAGCCTCTCTTCTCACCCCCGGAGTCCCCAATCTCCACGGGCGCGACAACGTCATTGGGCGAATGCGCTTGGAGCGGCACGCCCCGTCCTCGACCAGGCGTCCCCGCCCTTCCCCCTCCGGCTCCGGCCCCGGCTCCCGAACCACTGCCCGGAGACAACCCGGTCTCCTCTGTCTCGGTATACGGCCCCGCAACGGCATCCGGACCAAAGTAATCCTGCGTCGCGCCGCGACTGGGCCCGTTCGGTCGGGACCCGGACGTGACGTCCGATAGAGCCCGTACCCCGCGACCAGGCCTCTCGCTCCCGACGCCAGAGACCCCTCCCCTTCCCGCTCCCGTTCCTCTGCTCCGCCCGCCGCCGCCGCTACGCTCAGACATCGTCGCCGTCCCGGTAACGGTCCCCCTCCGCCGCCTCCTCACGAAACAAAACCACGCGAGCGCGCCGGCGAGAGCACACCCCACAACGGCAACGCCAACCCCGATACCCGCCTTCGCTCCAGCCGACAACCCTCCCCCTCCGCTGCCGCCTTCGGGGACGGTGGTATACCCCACACCCCCCGTCGCCGTCGGGTTCCCCGCTGCGCACCCGGCCGTCCCGCTGACGACGGTGCAGTGCATGAGGTTATCGCAGCACCCCGCCGCCGTGTCGTCGCACGCGTGCTGCGTGGTGGCCGTACACTGCGGGTCAGCGGGCTTCAGTCCCCCCGTGGCAGATGATGTCACGGAAGCGGAGACCGTGCTTATGCAGCGGCCGCCGGAGACGCAGGTCTGGCCGTAGGAGCAGCAGCCGCCGCCGAATTGGGATTCGCAGCGGAAGGCGGAGGGGGAGGGACAGGTGCGGCCGCAGCAGGCTGAGGATGTCGAGAGGGAGGTTGTCAGGAGGGCGGGGGCGGCGCTCGTTGTCCACGAGACGGTGGCGGTTACGGTTATCGTTGTTGGGCATTGGTAGGCTGTCGCGGGGCAGTTTGAGTCGCAGAGGGAGCCGAGGGGGCAGCACCATGGTGAATTGTCGGGCTTTACGTAGCAGTAGTTTGTGTTTGCGCAGCAGGTTTCTGGGTGGCCTATGTCGACGCCTGTTTGGGTGTTTTTAGTTTGATGCTCTCGGTTATGAGTGAGGCTACTCCCTTCTTCTTCCTCATGCTTCTAGTATGTAGACACTCTTTGGGGGTAACATAAGGTGAATCCGAAGTCAAGGGGGGACGTCGAGTGAGGATAATGATAACACTTGGAGGAGGTTCGTACTTACAGGAATGAAAGTTCGGGTTACATATACCGCCGTCGCGGACAGCGAGCCGCGGTGCGTCGATGAAGAAGCGCGGAACGATACCGGCGCCCTGAACGGCTGGCGACATGTCGACCGCGGCGTATCTCTGTCTGAAGGCCGCATTTGTGCCGGTGGCGGCGGCGGCAGCAGCGGCCAGCGTGAGGATCGCGAGGAGCTTCATCTTGTCTGCTGCTATCCCATCCCCCAAGAACGGCAACTTTTGATCGGGACAAGAAAGAGCAACGCCGATTGAAGTGCCGAGTTCAATTAGGAACACATTGCTCTCAATCCACGAGGCTTTTGCGAAGGAGAAGATGAGAGACTTTCCCGCCAGCCTGCCCTTTGGTGGTGGTGGAAGCCTCGGAGGATGGGGGGATCGTGTGTGTGTGTGTGTGTAACAACAGCGAGGCAAACCGCGGCTGAAAGGGAAAAGACGAGAAAAAAGCAAGGGACACAGAAACAATGGTGAGCAAACAATTTGAAGAGTGGAGGGGGAAAAGATGACAGTGATTAATGTAGGTAAGATGGCAGCGCACAGAAAAGGCTGCTGCTGCTGCTGCTCCTGCTGCTTCCTGCTGCAGCATGCGCCTAGATGCAGGGTAAAGTAGCATACACCCATCATGGGAAATAGAGGAACATGTAAGCAGAAACCCCATTTCCTCGGCTCGGGGGTTATCCAAAGTCCCTTGTGTTTCCTAACCCTTCCATCTTGCACTGGCGCAACCTGATCTCAGAATGGAAACCCATGAAGAGGAGGACTGTTCAACTAGAACATCCAGCCTCTCTTTCGGTGAAAGGCGTGGAACGAAACCACTCGGTTTCCTCACGAGTACGTCGTTCGGTACTCGACTCGGAAATGCAGAAACGGAGCGCCAAACTTAGGTACTCACTTGCCCCTCTCGATCGCGAGCCGAAAGGATTCCTCGTAATCCGTCATGGGAAATGATTGGTCAGCCTGTTCTCGCTATCCCATCTTCGTTGGTTCGTTCTTGCTGGGCCGCTGGGTTGCATATCGGGAGACCACCACCACCACCACCACCACCACCACCACCATCCACGGGCCGGCATCCCCTGTCCCTCGTGGCGACGCAGAACATAGGTATACCTAGCGGCTAGCTTCTCCAAGATTCGCGAGGATGATGGATTCCAGGGAGACTCTTCCAGAGCGTAAGAACTCGGCCAGTATTTTTGCTGCAAGGGAGAGAGAGAGAGAGAGATCGCGGTGGATGTGAAGGTATTCTCCCACTTTGTGAACCCCCCTCGCAGGCTGCTTTCTAGTGTGAACAGTACCTGCGTGCTCCTATTTGCAATCAATCGCCACGCGAATGGACAATGCGATTGGTAAGAGAAACTAGCATGAGAGATCCCCAATAGTCTGGACACCAGCATCAAGGAGAGTCGTATAGGCGCCCCTCCTAGAGCCAGTCAAAGACTAACGAACCAGGTCAAATGTGCTTCGACTTCTTCCTTCGCAAGAGGAACACGAAACTCGACTGAAGAGGAGAAGAGTGATCAAAGTCGAGGGATGAGGTTGAACGACGCCTGTTGCTATCAAATATCGAGAAAATAAACGATCGGACAGAAAAAAGTCAAGAATCCAAAGCGGAGTTCCTCAGGCCCGGCCCGCCCGGTCAAGAACACCCCCTTCCCGACGACGGAGTGACGGCCCCAAGCGCCAGGAGAAACAAAGAAGCTCGCCGGGCGCGGCGGGCCTCGACGACACACGCCCGCTAACGTTTAGCGCCCGAAACCCCCACAGTGCAGAAGCGGCAGAATCCCGAGGCCACAGGCGGTCAAGCCACAGAGAACCGAACCCCACCAAACGAATCTACCTTTACCCCTCCACCCACCTCCTCCCCCTCCGATCGAACTTTCTCATTTTTGAAGATATTCCCAAACGACCAAAAAAAACCAAACCCAGACACCCCTTCCGCCTACGCCTCCCGACACGCACCACCACAACTTCATATGAACCCTGTATCGAATCGATAAATGAACAAGAGGGGAAAAAAAAAACAAAGAGGACAGGAAGGAACACAGCAAACTGCCGAAAAACAATTGGAACACCACCCCCCATCCCGATAATCCTCCCATCACACACATCACACAATGACAACAATACCACCACCAGAGGGCGCGGGCGCGGGCGCATTCCCCCTCCCCCCCCTCCTAACCCACCAAACCTCGACCCCGCCAACCCTAATAACCCAAGGCGCAGAAGCCCGCCTCTACCACACAACCCACCTCTCCCCCTCCCGCCCGGCAGCCCTCAAATACCGCCCGCCCAAACCCTACCGCCACCCGACCCTCGACGCCCGCCTAACCCGCTCCCGCATCCTCGCCGAAGCCCGCGTCCTCGCAAAATGCCGCCGCGAGGGTTGTCCCGTCCCCGCGCTCTACGCCCTCGACGAGGTGGCGGGTTGGCTGATGCTGGAATGGATCCCCGGCGCGCCGGTGAGGGTGAGGATCAACGAGTGGCTCGGGGAGAGGAGGACAACAGCAGCGATATCAGAAGAAGGAGAAGAAACACCAGAAGGAGAGACGGGGGGCTCAGACGCGACAGCACCAGCACCAGCACCACCAGCACCCAAAAAGGACCCGACAGGCATCAAAAACCTCATGCGCAGAATGGGCACAGCCATAGGCCAAATGCACAAAATCGGCATCGTCCACGGCGACCTGACAACGTCAAACATGATGCTCCGCCCCCCGAAATCGTCAGACACAAACGAGAACAGCAACGACCCCCTCGACGGCCGAGTCTTCGTCATCGACTTTGGCCTCGCGAGCCAAAGCACCTCGGACGAGGACCGCGCCGTCGACCTCTACGTCCTCGAGCGCGCCTTCGGCAGCACCCACCCGCGCGCGGAGGCCTACTTCCAGGACGTCCTCGACGCCTATCGCGACTCGTACAAGCAGGCGCCCGTGACGCTCAAGAAGCTCGAGGACGTGAGGATGAGGGGCCGCAAGAGGAGCATGATTGGTTAGTTAGGGGGACTGGGTATGGCGTTGTTTGGAAACATTTCGAATCCATCTACTTGCGGAGAGGATGGCGAACACATGCACCTACAACAACAAGCTTGCGGAGATTAAAATCAAAAGAAATGTGAGACACATGACGGCACGGAAAAGAAAGTCGAATCAAATTGATACCCATGGAGTATTTCGGCGTGTTTGGCCGTTTCTACTTGATTCGCTACGTCTTCATCCGTCTCCCACCGTGTACATAGCCTGTACTTTGTTCAGTCCATCATGTTGGTCCTGAGAGGTGCATTCTGTCTCGATGCCATCTATAATTGCCCCAAAACTTTGATAAAGCCCCCATCCCCATGAAAAAAAAAAACCCCTACGCCAGGTATAAAGTAATAATGCCGTGTGATATAAAACGCCGTGTCATGCTATTATTAGTCGATTTCCATAACGACTTTCGAGACCCAGCTCATTGTGTGTGTGAGCGTTTTTGTCGAGACGCAATATCGGCCGTGACGCGCAAGCATTTGCCCCCAATCTGCTCTATTCCTGCTTCACGAGACACTTTGTCTCAAACCACTTTGCAAATCGCACTGTCGGGATATCAAACAAGCGCCAGAAAACATCGGCGGCCCAAATGACCGCAGGAATGCAGCCGAAAGATCCCAGAACGAATCCGGCATTGTACCACCAGCCCTCGAGGCCGGTGATGGCGTACGCACGTCTCTCAATCATGTAGCCAACGGTGTGCATGACTGGTCCGTGCATGAGGTAAAGTGCGTAGCTGATCTTGCCGAGATACTGGATGGGAGCGAGGTTGAAGAAGCTCTTCCATCTAGGAGAGTGGCCGACGCAAAGAACGAAAATGACAGCTCCGATAGACTGCCAGAATCTGTATCCTTCCTCCGTCCACCACTTGGGAATGAACGTGCAGAGCCAAACCCAACCAGGAGTGATTTCGTAGTTGATGTCAGGCTGGCACATGAAGTAGATGGCAAGAATGCTGAGCATTGCCCAGAAGAAGCCCTTAAGTCGGCTCCCTTGGGGAGCGGCGGCGCTATTTGAAGGAAGAACCGAGGGCTGCGGCACAGGCGTGTTGTTGCCCATGATCTGATCGTATTCCGCCAGCATCATGCCAAAGTAGAACAGCAGCAGCTCCCAACGGTTGTTTCGGTACGTGAAGGCGATGATTCCCGAGAGGAAGAGGAGGCGGAGTCCGGACCGTACGCGAGCCAAGCCGATCAGGGTGATGAACAGGTACATGGAACAGCGGAACTCCACCGGAATTGTCCAGAGGTGCACATCATATGCTAAGAATAGTATTAGCAAACCTCAACACACAAATCCTCCAAAACCACTTACATGTGCTGCCACCAAAGCGCTCCCAGCCAAACACGTGGACAAAGTTGAACATGCTCCAGACCCAGTCGTAAAACTGCTCCGAGAAGGTGTCCAGCGGCTTTGGGTGAGGCTCCATAACGTTCTTGTGGAAAGCCCGATCAATGGCAAAGTCTCTGGTCCATTCGTATACTCCAAACTGAAGTAGGAGCATGATGCAAAAGGTCGAGATGGCAGTCGGCATGTACAATCTGATGAATCGACGGAATATCAAAGACGTCGTCGTCACGGAGAATTCCTCCATGTTTCCGGCCCTAGCAAGCTTGATCGGCTTCATGGAAAGAGCGTAGCCGGAAATTACAAAGAACAGGCAGACCGCTGGCGGACCTTGGTAGAAGAGTCGGAAGAAGGGCATCTTGAGAATGTGGTAGTTCTTTTCTGATGAGCCCCAGCCTTCGGCAATGATGAAGGCTTGGTAAAAGTAGTGGCAGAAGAAGACGAAAAGCGCTGCCAAGCCTCTCATGCCGTCGAGATGTGATGTCGGAAACAGCTTGTCGGTTCGGCCTCGTTCTCTGGTGAATCGGCTCTGGACGAAGCTGGGTAGCAGGAAGATGAGGCCGCGGATGACGGTAACCCTCCATGGTATGGCCCGCGTGTAGCCAACTACACCCCGGGCGACGGTCGACCATCGTGGTATCGCAAAACGGACTTCGAGGTCGGCCCTACCGCTCTCGCTCTCGACGTCGGACAACGTCTTCTCGTCTAGGAGTCCCATACCCTCCTCGTGTGAAAGGGACACTTTTGAAGCAGCGTATCCGTTCATTGTCCTGCAATGCAACCGGCGAGCGGGTGGATTTTGGTGTTGGTTGGGTGGGTATAAGGGAGGCTCTCGTGGCCGGAAGGCAGGCAGGTAGAAGGTACAGTATCAAGCAAGCACGGCTTGAACAGGACAGGGCCAGAAGGAATCGAGTAGGAGAGGAAGAGGAAGGTGGAAGAGGGGATGAGGCGGTTTTGATCCGGAAGGCCCTTGTTATTCAGACGATCTGGATCTGCAGAAGGGAGGGGCGAAAGGAGAGTGACGGTCGGCAAGGGCAGGTAAATGTAATTGGGAGCAGATACAGAACAGACAGGGCCTGTGAGAAAGGATGTTTCCCGAGGAGGAGGTACCGCCGCTGGCTCAGGCTGGCTGGGAAGCGTGGGTGTTGCTGGGTGCTACTGGATGCGGCTGGGCGTGTGTCTTGTCTCGTCTCGTCAACGAGCCCGTGACCTTGACCTTGACCTTGTTGATGGGACCTGGGCTTAAGCAGGATCTTTGGGGGGGAAGGGGATCCAAGACCTGGGATACCTCCGCGACGTAGCAAAGGCGTGGGCCCTTGAGAAGAGGCAATGTGGAGAATGGGTACAGGAACAACAGAGGGAAAGAAAGAGATTGGTAACCGTGAAAGAATGAGAGTAAACAGGTCAAAACGGAAAAGAAAAGGGTCCGGCTGGGCTGAGGTGAGGACGACACGTTGAAAAGCTCAGCGCATAAACGATTCGAGGTTCCCGGTCTGGCAATAAGAGGAGCAGGACGGGTTGGTATCCGTAGGATGTGCCAATGTGGGGTTGATGCCAGGCGGCTGTGACCTCAGAAGTTGAGAAAGAGGTGACTTTCGAGGCGAGCAGAGTTGGGAGAGAGCGTCAGTGGTGTGGGTAGATGGGGGCCTGTTTCAGGGTTGTGCAAGAGTGGGAAAAGGTTCAAGTGTGGTAGCTATGACGGGTTTGGGAAGGGATGCACCATGGGAAAAGACCAGGAAGGTGCAGAGTGCAGTGTGCAGAGTACAAAGGTATCCGTAAATAGGTAGAGAAGGTGCATTCAAAAGCCTCGTGTTATCTCTGTTCCTGTTCAGTCTTCCATGTGTTTCTTGGTGTCCGTAACGGAAGGTTACGTTTATCTTGTGTTTGTGTGTTTGGTGTTTTCGCCTCGGACGGCAAGAGAGACAAAAGAAAAGGTGGAAGGTGGGATACACCCAAGAAACTCTTTCCTTCCTTGATGTTGAGTTTAGAGGGCCCTTGGAACCATCGAGGAAGGGACGAGGGAATGGGAAGGAAGGCACCTGCCCACTTTCAGTCTGTTCGTTCCTGTCTTGTCTTGTCTGACACGGGAAAGGCAAGAATGACGGGACTAATAAACTGTAATTTTGGTTTGATGGATGGGAAGGGAAGGCAACACCAAGTCACAAGTCAACACCACCACCGCGGGCAAGAGAGGGAAAAAAAAGTCAGAGGCTCGTGGGTTCGAACCAAACGAAGGATGTGGAAAGGACCCAGCCGAGGCGCAGATGTCAAGCAAGTCAGGAGCGCCGCTGACTGTGCACCAACAACCTCAGACTTTTTCTGCTTCTCTGATGATCGGATTTCCTCTCGACGCGGTGCGTGGTGTGTGTGAGTGTGGTAGGTGACCAGACTCGAATGATGAGCACGGTCGCCGAACGGTCCAATGAGCTACATGCAAAAGAAGGGATGAAACGATGGAAGTAAGCCGCTCGTGACAACGTACGAAGAATGACCGAGGCGAAGTTGGCTGATAGAGAGAACAGAATACCGAGTATGAGTACCGAGTATGTGTGTCTAAACTAAGGTACCCAACGATGAGACGGAGAGTAAAATTGAGAAGGGGTGGGGAGGGAATTCGGGAAGAAACAAAATAGCCTCTATTCCAATCCAATTCAGATTGTCAATTCGACGAGGCTAGAAACGGCAGGTACAACGTTCTTCTTTGCAACGGGTACCTAGGTTTGGGAGCATTTGGTAGCGTTGCCTTCCCATGTGCCAGTCTGCAGATAGATAGATGGCTTGGAAACTTGCAAGTAAAGTTATCGCTTCCAAGAAACATTGGGTCCAGTCGCGGAGACTGGGGCAACTTGGGGCGGGAGATGGAAACGGGGCCGCGTGGTTTCACACTTATATGAAATATCGAAGCACGTCCAAAGAAAGTGGGATGGACTCCAAGAGATGGGCGGGCGGCCGGTAGACCAAAATAAGCAAGGACTGCTCACAAGAATAAAGGGGAAACAAAACGATAAACGATGAGCCTACGAGCCCCGGGAATATCATTTGAATGAAGCGAGACGAAGCAAGACAATGCCGGGAATGCAGCATCGGCAGATCTAATCTGTTTGTTGACTTTGCAATGCGCACTTACTTCAGCTGGCTATGTACTAGGGATGCATACACAAAAGCCCGCCAAACAATCTGGGTGAGAAAAACCAAAGTAAAAATAAAATCACAAAACAACCTGCGAGGATCCAAGACACAGTCGGTATCTGTCCAACGAAGAACAACCCGGTGGATTGATTCTGGAATGGTGCGTAACATGACTGGATATTGCACACTCGTCCCAGTGTCTGAGATACGCAAGCCACGCAGGGTACGTAAAGGGCCTACGGAGTCAATCAATCAATATTAGACCCAGTCCTCCTCTCAAAGTTCGCAATGTCGTCGGCTCTTCTCCAATGGATCCAAACCAACCTTGGAATGATCCAATAGAAGCCTCCAGTCCCCCGATTCCCCTTTCATGGAGACATGGAGAGAGGGATGGGATATCCTCTTTTTCCTCCAACAAGTGGAACCCCCAGTCCGCCGCGGTGCGCCGCCCATCATCTCCCGCCCCTCCTTCCTCCCTCCCTTCCTGAGTCTTTCCGCCAGGCGCATCACACCTAGACACCTTTCTGCAGAATATTCTCAACGGGGTGGAACGAATGACGGTTCAACGGCTCGTCTGGGCATGACGCCGAACCGACCGGACCGGGGGAGGGGGGCCAAGGTCCAAGGAGAGGAGGATGAGCATTGGCAAGGGTCTCAGGATCCATGGGGAAAAAGGGGATCACTGGGACTCAAAACCTCGAGGGCGGCTCAAAAGGGGAACATCATAAGATGGAAACGTTCGTAGGGTTACTCTCTGTTCCCGCCGAGAGAATGCCATGGCCGCCCATCAAGCCAAAAGACGGCATCTCAGGACCGATATCAGGTCTCGGCGCATGACTTATCAGGAATCAGAAGCTTCCCGGTACCACTTTTTCGCAAAGAGCTGTCGTAAGCGGACTGGAGTACTTGTGCTGGGGAATATCGAGGAATGCCACATATTGGCCAAAAGAGGGCGATTCGATGGGCTCCAACAAATGGAGGTGGTCCAGTTTTTCGGTACTTTGTGCGTCCGTCGAGGGGTACTAGCTATGGACACTATGGATGGATGGCGGTGGTCTCAAGGAGTACGGTTATTCCGCACCCACACGAAGGCTATCCCGCACCCATACTAGGCCTACTCAAGCAAATAGTGGGCTGCACGTGACTGCACAGCCGCAGCAGCCACATTTGACCCGGAATCTCTATTATTCCGGCAGTTCTAGAGGGTTGGAAGGCGCGCTTCCACTGCACCTCCTACAACTGCACCTTCCACTGCCTATTGCACCTTCCACTGCCTGCTGCACCTTCCACTTTGCCCTCTTTTACAATGCCGCCTATGCGCGCTTTTCGGAGTCAGAGCCACGACTTCAGAAGCCAGTCTTTGCTCAGGGGAAATACTTCTCTAGAGCTCATATTTTGGTGCTCAAAAAGGTACTTATCCTGCTTCAAAAACGACCAAAAAAGGTGGTGTTACGCGTCAAAACAAAAATAATGGGAAGGCGCGCGCCCATGGCCTGACATGTGGCTGCTGCGGCTGTGCAGTCACGTGTAGCCCACTATTTGCTTAAGTAGGCCTAGTATGGGTGCGGGATAGCCTTCGTGTGGGTGCGGAATAGCCGTACTCGTCTCAAGGTGTTGCAAACTTGCAGTAATTTCAAGGTTGAGATCGGCGCTTGGATCCACGCTACCGCGCTCGGGAAACCGGGGGGGCACAAGGCTCGAGTGTTCGAGACGCTGCGACGGTCCAGGTGCGGCGCGGACGGCATGGCACGGCATGCACACTTGCAGGTCTGGAAGTTGGAGTCGCGGGCCAGGTACCGCACTTTGCCAATTCGCCTAGCTAAGGTATCAGTGTGGCACGGTCATGTAGGTACCCGTCTCTTCCAATGAATCTCCAGCTTCCCGACTTCCAACCTCGGCGCGCCTCATGTCGTTGGACTGGCACACTAGACGAGACTTGATGGGAACGTAGGAGAGAGGCAGTGGGCGCGCCCAGCGCCTGCAGGCTACAGTATCTACCTTACCTAAGGCATGCATCTCCTCAAGATTCCAGTGAGAATGCAAGTATGTACTCTTGGTCTTCTCCTCCCCCCGTCAGGGGTACAGCTTGTTTCCCGGCAGTCAACCCCTTGGCTTTGTTCCAGATTGGCAATCCGTCACGCAGAATGCATGGCAGGCACCGCACCGCCCGTCCGTCCTGCCGTGCCTGCCACACTTGCCACAGGTACTGCCATGTGCTGCTGTTGGGAGTTTTGCCTCAACCGCTATCTGCGGATTTGCGTACTGAACTACTGATAGAGACGGAAATAATTTGTGATGTCTGGGACAAGTGCTCCGTCTCCCATCTCCGATCCATACCAACAGTCATTTGCCAATTCATTTCCCATCCAGTCGTGTAGACGGTTAGGATACCCAATCCGATCAGTCCTCTTCCTTTAGGAGTTTAGGCTCAGTGATTTGACTCAACTCCAGTTCTCCTCTATCAACAACGTGCCAGTCAGCCACACCTACAGAAGACCGCACAGCATTATTCCAGCATACCCATACCCGTAACAGCGAGCCGCCGGGTTTCGCAACCGAGAAGGGGAGAAACCCCAGGCCTCTGTTTTAGGATCCCGTCTCTCTCTCTCTCTCTCTCGGCTCCCCTTAGCCTCTAGGTAGTACCGCGTAGCATGTCCCCAATTAAAATCAAGAACAGACTGACGATCAGCATCCGAAAGCCGAGTCAGACCACCATCCACCAAGTCAACTTTCGGCTCACTGGCTTTCAATAGACAATACCCCCCGGTGCCCCCCAAGAAACCCAGGGGGCCAAGGGAACAGGCGTCCCTGGATCGACGTTGCTCTCGGCTGTGAGACTTCTTCTGATTCTCAAATCCACTGTCCAGACTAGCACGATCCAGTAACCAGTCCCGTCCCCCGGAACAAAAGACTTCTGTGCGGCGCGCCTTGCTGACTGACTACGCTTAATTCTGCTCCGTAGCCCGAATACCTCGCTAAGGCTCGCTCTCGTGAGTCTCAGCTCGTCTCGTCTCGTTTCCTCATGTGATGTAATGAATAGTAGTACACATCAACGTAGCATTGCAGACGCGGGACGCGAGATCTAAATTTGTACGAACAGAAGAGTTAATCCGTGTTTCTTGAACCATGTCGATACTCAGTAATAATACATCTTACGTGTGGTGTTTTTTGAGTTTGGAATACAGAGAACCACCCGCCTGACACAAACACGTCGAGTCTGTAGTTAGCCGCAGCCCGAACGTCGTCTCGTCGCATCGTCCCGTTATACCCGCCGTCTCATTAGCTTTTTAGGTATCCTCTACGTCTGACACTGAACCATAAAGGGAGTGTGTCTTGTACAAATATGCGAAACCAACGCCTGCCGGAACCCGTTACATCCCAGCCTATACCACCGAATCCATCATGCCGCTTTCTCCTACGTCATGATAACAATAGCAAAAAACAGTCACATACGCCCAGAACACCTTGCCTTTATATCATCAAGCCATACCGTCCGTCATCTTTTAAGTGGAGAGCCAGTCGAGGAACTCGGGGGTGAAGTAGCTGATGACAATGGTCGCACCAGCTCTCAGGATACCTTCAGTCGACTCGAAAGCCATCGCCTTCAAGTCGAAAACGCCAGACTTGGCCGCCGCATGGATCATGGCGAATTCGCCACTGACCTGGTACGCGGCGACAGGCATGTCCTTGCCGAGCTCCTTTGCATCGCTGATAATGTCGAGATACTGGCTGGCGGGCTTAACCATGATGATGTCGGCACCCTCGCCAATATCACGGACAATTGCGCGGCGGGCCAAGCCACGGCCGCCCGGAGGCAGCTGGTAGCACTTGCGATCGCCGAATGACGGGGCAGAGCCTGCGGCGTCACGGAACGGACCGTACAAGCAACCCGAGAACTTGGCCGAGTATGACATAAGCACCGTCTTGTGAGCGATGCCCTCCTCGATCAACTTCAGCTTGATGGCACGGATCCGGCCGTCGTTCATGTCTGAGGGAGCAACGCAGTGTGCGCCAGCGACCGCGTAAGCAATGGCAACGTCGGAAATGCGGTCAACGGACAGCTGATTGTTCAAGCTGCCGTCGTCACGCAGGATACCGCAGTGGCCGTGGGAAGTGTACTCGCACAGGCAGACATCGGCGCAGATGAAGAGCTGAGGGAAACGCTGGCGTATAGCGCGAATGCTTCTGATAACGGGTCCCTCTGGGTCGTCGGCGGCGGTACCAAGAGCGTCCTTGGTCCCCGGGCGCACGGGCACACCGAAGAGCATCACGGAGCGCAGACCCTTGCGCACAAGCACCTCCAGCCAGGCCATTGTTTTGTTGATGCCTCGGCGGTATTGGCCGGGCAAAGAGGGAATCAGGATCTCCTCGTCGTCTTGGTCGGAAATGAAGAGGGGGTAGATAAGCATTGACTGAAGAGGGTTCAAATCAGCAATGGTTCGCGGATAACTGGATTATGCCTTGAGTCGCAGAACTCACCTTGGTCAACTGTCTCTCGGCTTGCCACGAGCGGGCAAGAGGGTGGAAGTAGCCCCCGTGCAGCTGGCTGGAAATGTCGCCAGAGATGCTGACGCTTGTCGCTGCTGTGCTGGCATAAGACATGGCACGGGAAACTTGCGACCGGCCATCATCAATGGTAGAGACTGATTGAGGACCGCGGGGTCGGCGCGGGACGCCGGACTCCCTCATGGTAAGATCCTGAACAAGGCTGGAGAAAGACATGTTGGATTACGGCGTCGTCGGATTGTATTGCAGCTACGAGTATTGAATGAGGGGTTGAGTCGATGTGAGGAAGTGGCGAACAGTTGTTGAAGTGCGAACAAGCAAAGGGGTCGCGGCAGTCGCAATAGGAGATTCGGGGTGGTTGAGGACTTTTCTTTCGCCCGACGGGTGTCGTCAGGAGTTCAATTCGGCGGGAGGGATTAACGACGACGAGAACGACGTTATTTTGGAAAGGGATGACTCGGAAGGTTTGGGGCTGAAGATGGGAGAAGTACGACGGTTGAGGTGGCACAGGAGGGAAGTCAAAAGGGTTCACTGCGCCAGAAAGTTGACGGGATTTGAAACGGACCAGCTTTCCCTTCCCGCTTTGGCAGACACGGCTGGGACTCGGCAGGAGACGGAGTTGAGCGTGGAACCTTCCTGCCAAGCCGTCCTGGAAATGAACCAATGAGATTGCGCATTGGAGCTGCTGACAGACCAATCACGGTCCAATCTTTTCCAATTGGCCCTCTCCGGTGGCGGCGTCTCCGCTTCAAACGGGACCCTCTTCTCGCATTTTCCGATGTCCGCGTGCGTTCCAACGGCGAAACCGAGTATGTCGTGCCCGTAAGCCGGTCAGCAACTTTCTCTTGCATCCATGAGGGCTGACTAAGATGATCGGGATGGTCAGAAACCTCGGCTGGCGAAGTATTTGCCTTCCATGTTTGTTTGCTTGCAGCGATCTGTATCCGTACCTACTGTTATTCCGAACCGCTGTCTCCTTTCCGAGACATGCTCTGTTAGAAAATTCCCTCCCCTGGCCCGCTGCCCATGTAACGGCAAAAGGCGAAGGGCTGGGCACAAACCTCTTCTCGAGGGATCCAGATCCCAACACCGAGATGCTCCGAGCATCTCCGCAGCTGGCTGCGGCTGGCTGCAGGCCCGCTTCTCCTCCGGTGCCCCTCCTATGCTTCCGTCCCCGTAGTTCGCCCCATCTAGAACGTTCACCGGTCAAAACGGCTGCCCGCAGGCCCCGTCGCCGGCCACGGTGCACTCCGGTGATAGTCGGACGAAGCTGGTTTTAATGTTCATCTTTGGACTTTCTCTTTGCCTGCCAAATATGATTGTTTCGGATGATTGTTTTACTCATGAACCGCCTTACAAAACTTTCCTATCGAATTTCTACGGGTTAATGGGATAGCCAATATAGCACATGCTTTATGGTTATCCCCTTTCTGTCAGAGTATGTTGAGCCAGCACTTACGAAGTCCAAACCCGATGTTTATTGTCTCTTTGCCAGAATGTGAACAATTCTCCAAGAAGCACATCAATGTCCCAGTGAAGTTGTGCTCCATCTGCCCAAGCCATGTTACGCCCCATCGTCTTACGGTTCTGCTTCATCCCATGGCTACGCTCTTCCTGATGCGAAGCGCCATCTCCGTGTCTCCAAACAAAGTTACCGATACCCAAATATGTGTGTGATTTCGGGCCGAGAATGCTAGATAATGACTCTGCGCAGTCCCGGTTTCCTGCTTTTCTTCAGCGCAATAATCAGCCATGGCGTTCTCATGTCTTGAGGTAAGTCTCCGCCACAGCCACGATCTATGATGTTTACCAACATGACATACAATCGAGATCTCCCAAAGGTATCTTTGAGATTGCTTCGAGGCTATTCGAGTCTCTTTGCTGTTTCCCTGGACGACATGCTGCAACCCCTTTCGAATGAGGACTTTGTTGGGCCTCACCCCTCAACCCAAGACTGAAAGATGACAACTGCGGATGGTGCAAGTCAGAGGCTTTCAGGGGCACTCAGGTTCACACCCAGACAAAGCCACTGAGCCTATCTTCCGTGAGCTCTTTCAAATTGCGGCTTGGACTCGCCCTCCATGCCGCAGACCGACTTATCGTCACCTGAGGTTTCCAGTGCAAGTCACTGGTCACCCGGGGACCACGCTCGAGTCTCCGCTCTTATCCCCCTGTGGAACAAATCAAACGCCGAACGAAACATAGGGCTTATCTCGGAGGCTCGAAACAGGAAGCCACGACAGTGGCCTTGGTGTTGAGAGGAGGAACGTCCGAACCTTCCCAAGAAAAAACCTGTTCAGTTGGAAGGGCGGTTTCGGTTCGCTCGCCTCTTTTTTTCCTTTTCTGCACCTCACCATCGTGTCCCCCACGTTCGCTTTCCACGATTCCCCAAATTCCTCGAAGCAATCGCAACAATCAACTCGGTCGCCTGTTGCTGGCTTTGGCAACAGTAGATCTCAGGAAAAGAACCTCAATCCCGTTGCAAGGTATGTCAGATCCAGACGAGGCGCTGCCCAGAGGCCGTTCTCTGATTGCTATCAGTGCCATCTGAAGCGCTTCGAATTCGTCAGCTTTGGTTCGTCAGCTTTGAGCACTTGAGAAGAAATCTTTCAAGTTGGCTAATCACTCACTGCCCGGCTTCGCAGCATCAAGAACCTCAGCAACATTCGCTTCATTGTTTTTGTCGTTGATTATCTCTCTTCCCCTAGGACGTTCGACGTCCTATCCACTCCTTTCTCCCAATCGAAAGACGCCTCATGTACGATGAAGAAAAAATCCATGAGCACTCTCGCCAATCTGGCGCCGCGTCGTCGTGGTAAGGGCAACAAGAAGGAAGAGAGAAAGGAGACTCAAAGTAAGTGACAGTTCTCTCGTCTCGTTCGGTACCAGCTGACACTTGGAACAGCTCCCGTCACTCCTTCGCTGCCTGAGAATCGAAGCGGTCCCGCCCATCCCTTCAGTTACCCTGATCCAGGCGGCAACACTGATCAAATTGTCGACTGCTTGGCCAACGACTTGCTGGAGAGCACCATCTATCATCATCCCAACGGTTTGCGCAGTCATCCATCTGTTCTTCTTTGTGGAACTGAGCCGATGGCCATCGCACCTATGATCTCTCCTGATGTGCAACCCAAAGCGCCCTCGACGTACCGGATTGTTAATCTTCCATCGGAGGACTTTTCCGTTCATTGCCAGTCTGGCACCCAAGTTGCGGGGACCGACGAGGTTGCTCCGGCTATCCCTGCAAAGTCCTTGCGACGTCAATGTGGCAAGCAGGAGAAGAGCGTCGATGGCTTCGTCGACCCCGAGAATCGTCCTGCGATGCTTAACTTCCCGCATTCCAAGACCACGATGCTTAACCCCGGCAACAGACATCCTCTGTGCCTGCCTCCCTCTACAACGGTTCCACTCTCCTACGGCGGATGCAATGACGGGGAGGATTTCTCACGGACTGCTGTCGCCGAGGCTCTTGCCGCCCGGGCCGCCGCTGAACAGGCTGCTCGCATCCAGGCAATCAGCGGCCAGGCTTCCGTCCGAAAGGACCTTGACACCGAGGATGTTCCCGTTCAGGTTCTTGGTCCAGAGAACGGTCCTAGATCAGGCTTGATCGACCCCGAATTTGTCGATATCAAGACCGGGGCAATGCTGGCTGCAACTCAAACCCTGAAGCCCCCTGGTTCGGAGAAACCCAAACTTCCTCCATCAAAGACTTCCTTGCTTCGTCGACACAAGGTTGTCTCCAAGGTTCGCCACGTGTTCGAATCCATCCTGCCTAAGCCTGCAACGCCAGAATCGAAGATCAGGGGCAAGATCTCAGCGCCCATCGGTTTGACCACGTGCGATCTGCCCAACCCTGCGGCGTACTATCACCTCGAGGAAGTCGAACTCGAAGAGACATCTATCGTCAGCTCAATCGAGCTTCGTCTCAATGAAGGCAACAACCTGCATAGCCACAAGGTTCAGAGCATCGTCGGAGATCGCATCGTTCGTAAGGCCGTGGCTGATGATGAAAGCTCGGTTGGCGGCAGCGATTCACCAGAAGATCCCTTCTCGGGGGAGTTTGAAGTCGCAAATCGTCCCCCCACTCCTTTTGAGCATCGCCTCAAGAGTAGCCTTGACTCCACTGGTATCCCTCCGGTTCCTTCTTTGAACCCTTTCGATACTGAGAAGGACTTCGATGCCGACCTTGAAGGAATCTTGTCTGAGAAGCCCGTCTGTGCTTCAACCCCGCGTCGACCCGACCGGAAGGCAGCCTCCGGAGAGAGCCCCTCTAAGCGGTATGCAAAGGCTGACGACCGCCATCTTGCGTCCATCAACGACACTGAGGGAGGCCCTAGTGCTCCCAGCCCGACTCCAAAAAAGTTGAGGCTGTCGGGCGGCTGGAGACTCTTCCGCGATCAGCCTGAGCCCAGCACCAAAAAACACCCATCGCCCAGCAAGCAGGATCTTGAAGTCCTCGAAGATCGACTCCGCGACATGGTCATCGAGAAAATGGAGCAGGAGCCTGAACAGCGGCCAGAATTGGAGGCCAAGTGGGAAGGCGTCCTCGCACCGGCTGCTCTGGGCCCCAAGGATGCGAATGCTGCGTTGATGTTGAGTGAGGGCAAGCAGCCTGTCGCAAAGCCTACTGTCGTTATCGGAGAGGCTAGCGCTGTCTCGCTGCGTCGATACAATCGCGAAGAGTTCACCCGTATCACGACGGCTGGTTCCCGGATCCCTCGTCCTTCTCCTCGGTACACCCCCTACACTCGACCTTCGAACTTCGATGCGCTGGATATTGACGAGTTGCAGTAGGATGTGACCGTCTATGCTCCGAGACGTCGTCGTTTCTAGGGCTCGGTCGCGAAATTTTGATGCGTCTGAAAAAATTGGATCATCTTTGGCGGTACCACTCTATTCTATCGGTTCTTTGCCTGCGGTGGTTCTGGGCAGTTCGACCAAGGACCATCAACGGAAAAGCTCTGGTATCGTTGCTGCCTTCTACAAGCTTCCACAGCTGGCTTCAACAATTTGGAGACAGCCCGCCCGCGTTCTTTTCTGGAATTTGGAAGCGCCAATTCGGCAAACCTGTTGAGTATTTCCGCGGCCAAACATTGAGATGGTACAATCAAGTCACCTGCATTCTTCGATTGGCCCGCCCCAAATTTGTGTAAGTTGTTGCCGTCTCCTAAAATTCATCAGCTAATGTGTCACAGGAGAATACATCCAATTTCGACTTGGACTGCTTTTCGGATCCGGCTGCACTTTTTCTCCTTTTTCATGAGACTCGAAGAAATCATCAGGTCTCCAGTACTCACAAGCACCATTGGGCAACCTTAATACAAGTCCTACTGCCTTCTTACTAGGCCTAGGCAACCGGTTGCTGTGCGAATTTGAGTGTCAACAATTCGTGGACCGCTTTCCTACGCGACAGGACAACAGAACAACTCTTCTCTTTCAGACTGTGCCACTTTGTGACCCTACCCGACCCTGGGAGAATCTGCATAAACTGAACCCCAGTAAACCGCAATCAGATTCTCCCATTTGCCGAATTGCATACAAAATGCCACCATGGAGGACGGATGTCACAGTGGGAGGATGATGAATGGTGTGATTGGACGCTAAGGGGGGGAAGCTCAGATAGGTAGTCACAATTCAAATCGTTTCAAGATAACTATGAAACTTGTCACAGTCTTCTCAATATCAAATGTGCAAGGTAATTTACTTTACTTTGTTTATTTCATATCGTAACACAGACATGGTATCTATAAACCAAATCGCTCTCAACAGTACTAATACAGTAGGTATCCAAAATCCATCATAATCCATACACATAAGAGACTCGCTTGTTGGTATCTATCGATTGATAGGGGGTATTTTTTATATGCGACTGCGCACACACTTAGTAGCGGTGGGCGCGGTGCGAGCCACGACCGTCAGTGCCGTGCATGCGGCGGGTGCCAGCGGCCTTTTGACCGGGGCGACGGGTCAAGGTGCCCTTGAGCTTGAGCATGGCACCGGAGATCTTGTCGCCCATGGAGGGCTTGCGGCGCTGGTGGTGGACGGGGGCCGTGTGGGCGACGGGGCCGCGGCGGCGGGAGAAGAGGCCGCCGCCGGAACCGCGCTTGGTGGTCCTGGTGGTCTTGGTAGTGGTGTGGTGGTGGGTTGTGTGGGCGGGCGCGCGGCGGCGGGAGAAGATGCTGCGGCGGGGGGCGGTGGTGGTTGTGTGGCGGGTGGATCTGAGAGGCATGATTGCGGTTTTTGGGAGTGAAGAGTTTGTTTTTAAGTGGTTTTGGTTGTTTGGGTAATGGTGTAAGACTTAGACTTAAAGTCTTTGGTTGTTTGTTTGATTGAGATTGGTTGGGTTGTTTTGTAGCTTGATGCTGATGATGAGAAGAGGGAATGTAGATGTAGGTGGGTTTGGAGGGTGGTTTATATGTTCCCTTGGTGGTTCTATTCAGGGTCGCGGTTTTGGAGGGTGACCAGCTACGCAGCATGTCTGTTCCAAGTCAGATGGCGTATGTTGGTAAGGTTGTGTGATTTGGGCATGTCATCATCGCGGGGTGGGAGGTTCGTGAACAGAACAGGGGTGGTTGGGTCTCGCGGGATCAGGGACCCTGTAAGAGGGGATGATGTCAGGGTCCAGGGGATCTACGTTTGTATGTGTATGTGTGGTCTTCTAGTCTGAATCTCTGTGTCTTTACAATACATACTGCGCCAAAGGCGACATGGCTATCTTCCATTCGTATGAACAGTAGGTGTGTGGCATCCTTTGGTGGGATCGATGCGCAAAGGGTCCGAAACCTGCGTCCTTGGTTCCACACTTTGGACCCTATTTTCGTTTCGTGACCCTCCCTCTGACGACAAAAGGAAGATGGGCAAATAGGCATCCGTAAGGAGGGGATAGAGAAGTGGGAGGGTGTCGTCGGACCCTGATTCTGGGAAAGGGGTGACGTCCCTTGCAGTTCATTCCGTCGGGGAGGAGGGGACTGTACATGGGGTACATTCAGACATTGTTACGTAGGAGGAGCCAGGCAGGCTGTATCCGTACATGGGTGATGAGAAATGGCCAAGGCTGGCCAGAACGACAGCTTCGGGGGAGACCTCAAAGTGATTTTGCCCTCCGTTTGTTGTCGCAGCTGCGAGGTGAGGTCAAGGTGAGCGTCCAGCCCCAAGCCCATCAGCCCAAAATCAAGTTTTGGAGGGTCCTGTGGCTGGTGACGTCGAGTTGCGGTCGAGGGAAGGAAGCCCATTGGGTCCAGCCTCATACCCCTGTCTCTTGCCTGCGCCAGGGGTAGTAGAATTGTTGATTCCGCCAATTAGAGTTGTGGCACATGCGAAGGTGTGGCTGACCCGGTAAATCAAGGTTCCTACCTTATCAAGGTACGGTACATTATGATGTCATGCGTAACGGTTGGTTCGTACCACAGCAGATAGGTGTGACAAGTCACACCTTTACGGACGGGTCTGGACCCAAACGGTTCTCTTCAGTTTCTTGTTTTCTCCCCCAGTTAATGATCAAAACGTAGATAGACTGGGTGACTGGGACGGTCTGACCTTCCCTCTTTGTGTGTACCACACTGGCTGATCTCAAAGGTTAGTGTGTTGTTGGACGCATCGTTTGTTGGTGTGAGAAAAGTCGCAATGGGGGAGGGAGTGATAGGCATGGGGGATTTGCGGCCGCTGACGACGGTTTGACTGTGTACTTCTCAAACTTTCAATCATTCGACGTCAGTTTTTGCGGGTTCGAGCCTTCTCTGGCCTCTTGTTTGGCCACGGATTCGACTCCCCCGAGCGAGGTCAAGAGAATCCTCTCGGGTCTGGGATGAGGTGGAACGGAACATCACTGAGGGGAAATGACATAGCTGGTGGTCTTGGAACGGTGATCCCCTTGATGGTGCAATTTGTCCGGTCGTCAGACGCACGGCTCCTTCTCGCTCATGTGTCGGATTTTCTAGGCCAAGGAAGATAATGATGTTGGGGAAGTAGAGAGCAAATGCTTGAAGCGCGGAAAGCGATGCTGTCAAGGCGCCCACGGTGCCGCCGTCCCCAAACCTTGTCCAGGTCTTCCTGCCACTTTGCGTATACAGAGATTTGTTGCCATCCTTTTCAGGAAATCTTATCCTCATCAACGCTCCTGTCCATCTGTCTGCAACGTCTACAGCCAAGTAGTATATGGCTTGGCAGAGTTGGCTCCTACCACCGCAGCGAGGACCGCAGTGAGCGCGGTGAAAAAGAGCGACTCCGTGCTGGGCCTTCCTCGTTCGTATGGGATTGTTATGCAGGCTATTCTCCTGATATGGCCATGGGTGGAGGTAAGATGTGGGCTAGCAGATTACGGTGGTATGGTTTCCGCCAGTTTGAGACACCCTTCATACCCTTCACACTTCCATTTGCAATGATGAGAGGGGTTGGTTCAGTGGAACTGCGGCTTACTTCCCTGCGCGAAGGGGAACGACCCAGCGCGGCAGTATTGCTTTCCTTACATCGAGGACATCACCATCGAGGTGGCTCACCGCGCCACTGAACCTTCTGAGAGATTGACTGTATTCTCGGTGCCTTGAAAAACCTTGAATAGCACATGGTTGCCATAAGTTCCGACCATCAATATAGTCCAAGATTACGCCGTCTAGTTTCCGCGCCCAGAAAGGTTATCCTTGATCCTAGCCAAATCATCGCTTGAAAACCCCAGAGCCCCAACGACGTATCCCTCCCAGCCGCCATGCGCTTCCTGCAATGCCGCGATAAACGCATCCCAGCACGACGTCCGCAGGCTGCACAGGTTGTAGAAGCCTGGGTGCTGTTCGAAAGTGAGGCTACCGCCGCCGACACGGGCCTGCTGGAGGAGCCGCTCCCTCGCTGGCTCGGTGCCGATGCGCGAGAGCATGTAGTCGAAGCGAACGTCTTCGGGTGCGGTGCCCGCGAGAGATTGTAGGAGACCTGCCATCACGCCGGTGCGGTCTCTTCCGGCTATAAGGGGGTTTTCCTATTAGTTGGGCTTGGCTGGCGGCCACGCGCCGCAACAGTATTTGGCCTTCTTTCCATTAGAATGTCCAGGAAAGGCATACATACCGGTACAGTGAAAGAGAAAAGATTCCTTGGGCTTGTCGCGCACGTGCTCCAATATGGCTCGGTAAATCGGCCGGTATAAATCAAGGACCTTGAGATACTCCTTCCGAAGTCCAACTTCGCCCCCGGCCTCGACAAAATCATTCAGGTCAGGCGGGGTGTGGGCGCCCGCACTTTCGAGCCATGTGTTTGCAACTCCTGCGATCTCTGGATCGGGATGCTTCCCGCGTTCCGCAGAGCTACGAACGTCAAAAATCTGCTTCACGTTGGCGGCCAGCCAATCGAGCGCCTCTGGGTTCTGGTTGGCGACTTCGAGCATGCCGCAGCGGTAGACGAGACCTGGACGGACGCCGGAGCCGGGCACGGCACCAAGGTCGCGGATGTTGATGAGCTCGGGGACAGGGAGGAAGGGCGGCGTGCTCAAAGCCTGCTGTACGAGTTCGGAGGGGATTGGGTCGTGTACGTCTCGCTCTGTGAGAGCTTTTAGCTGGTCTCGGGTCATGGACATTTTGGCGATGAACGAGCTTTTTTATTCTTAAGTTGGAAGAGAAATGAGGATACTGGCAGTATCAAGATAGGATATCTCAAAGGAGGAGGAGAAGACTATCTTTGAGTCGACTGTCTGTTGTTGGCGGTGAGGCAGACGGCAGCCTAGGGCAGGCAACATCTGCGCCCTTCAATAATTGAACGGAGGTTGTTGGAGTAGACGTTTTGGAGTTGTAAGCAGTCCTGTGTAAGACGCGGACAAATGTAGCCCGCCCCCGTTGAAACAAGCTTCTTGAAGCTTTCTGGTGACAGGAGCTAGTGTTCATTCCACGAGACCGTCATGTGGCGCCAAGCCCCGAATATTGAGGTCTAACTATTGATATTACCGTTTGCGGACTCTGCACATAATGGCAACGCCTCAACGTTCTATGTGGCGGCAGTTTGCAGCAACGGGGATCTTGTAAGGGGCATATTAAGCCGTTTGCCCGCAGATGCACTTAAATTCCCGTGGCCAGATTCCCCCCTCAAATCGTGGTGCATAAATGGCATGTCTTTTGCCATGAAAAATGTTGGACATTCAAGGACACTGGGTGATGAAGTTAAGGATGTTGGTTTCAAGAAGTATCCCCGAAGCTCTCATCCCTGCTTCCACATGCCTGATAAGATAGCATCTCCTTATCAAAGATGGCGATAAGGATATCGACTTTCCACACCGAATTTCAGGACGTTGTCTTCCAACAAAGCAAGCCATTTGACTCAAATTGAGACACTAATTACCTCGATGAGTGGCTAGAATTTCAGCATCATGTCCTCGAATCCGATTTTGAGGTGGGGACTGGGCCTCTCAGCCGCCGCGGCCGTGGTCGCAATCGCCGTCGTGCGTCTCCAGCAGCCCCTCTTAGGCGACATCGATGACACCCAAACGTACTGCTACCAAGGCATCCGTACGCACGACGAGGACCAGCCGTCAGCCCAATGCTTCACTGTGGCCGACGGCAAATTCACCCGTGTGTTCCCATGGGATGATGCAAGCTTGACCACCACGGCTGGCTTCGTCATTCCTGGTCTGTGGGATGGCCATGGTCACCTGAGTCAGTATGGCGAATTTCTCTACTCGGCCGATCTGTTCGGAGCCTCTTCTTTGGATGATGTCCGGGATCGCTTGAGGGACTACGTCGACAGCCATCCCGATGCCGGCACCAAGAATGAATGGATTCGAGGGATTGGCTGGGATCAGTCGGCGTACGGACGAATGCCGACCGCTGTGAGTCCTCTTCACCCCTCTCTGCCCAGTGATGAGTCTAATTCCCGATCAGAAAGACATTGAGGAAGATGAGCTTCTGAAGGGCAAATACTTCATGCTCGACCGGATAGATGTCCACTGTTCATGGGTGTCACAAGCTGTGCTCGATCTGTTGCCTGCAGATCTCCCAGACGTGCCTGGCGGTGAGATCGTCCGCGAGCCAGGAATGGGCGTCTTTTGTGACAACGCCATGGACCTGATCTACAACTTGTGGCCGAAGCCTGGACCCGAGAAGAAGCGGGCATTCATTGCAGCCGCCATGGCCAAGTTGAACGAGGTCGGTCTGGTTGGTATGCATGATGCCGGCGTCTTTCCGCAAGAGCTCGACCTGTACGCCGATATGGCAGGCACGGACGACTGGACTGTCCGCGTGTATGCCATGTTGGAATGTGCTCAGCGAAATACCTTCTGTCCCGAGGACGCTGCTCGGGTGTTCCGTGAGGATGACTCGTTCAGCGTCAAATCCGTCAAGCTTTTTGCAGGTATGTTTTCTGAAATGTTTGACATGAAAAGGCCCACTGAGACTAACGTTTTCCAGACGGCGCTCTTGGAAGTTGGGGAAGTGCCATGATCGAGCCATACAGTGATCGTCCCGATACCGCCGGCTCTCTTCTTGTCAACGGGTCGACTTTGAAACAGCTTGGACGGTCCTGGGCATCCGTCGGATACCAGGTCAACATCCACGCCATCGGTGACCTGGCAAACCGCTACGCCGTCGACGCCCTCGAAGCTGGCCTGCGAGATGTATGCTCCGATGAGAACCTCGCAGATTGCCAGGCCCGACGACGATTCCGCATCGAGCATTCGCAAATCATCCACGAGGATGACCAGAAGAGGATCCATGACATCGGTATTATACCATCCATCCAACCGACGCATGCGACATCCGATATGAAGTACGCCGAACTACGACTTGGGGCAGAGCGCACCAAAAAAGAAGCGTACCGGATGCGGTCACTCCTGGACGTCCACCCGATCCTAGGCAGCGACTTCCCCGTCGAGCCGCCCAATCCCTTCCAGGGTATCTATGCTGCCGTCGCCCGCAAGAGCCCCCATACGGGTTACGGCGTCAACGGAAGTGAAGATGGCTGGCATACCGAGGAGGCTCTAAGTCTCGACGAGGCGTTGCTGGGGTTCACCAAGGGCCCGTCCTACGGTGCCTTCATGGAAGGACGAGCCGGCCTCATCAAGGAGGGCGCGCTGGCTGATTGGGTCGTGCTGGACCAGCCTCTGGAGGACTTGGACCTTGACGAGCTGCGGGAGCTCAAAGTCAAGGAGACCTGGGTGGGCGGGAAACAAGTCTACGCGCGGGACTATGAGTGACGGGCTACCAAGGTTCACGATGAATGAATTTTAAAAAGTTCTCTCGGCTTCGTTCCATACTTACCTACTCTGACATACTCAAGACCGCTTTTATTAGGGGATTTGTCTACGCCAACGACTTTTTATGCCCAAGAGATATGATTCCATCAACACAACTGAGACCGACCTGTGCTGTTTTCTCATTACATTCGCTTTAATCGTATGGATGGCTCTGACTGGCCGAGTCGAAAGATAGAAAGGTAGCCAGAGGCATTCGAGACGAAGTTTTCTAGGTTGGTACCCATCTTATCCACCGTCCATCTCACACTCCAGTACTATATGGACAACGAGGCACACGTATGACTTGACAAAATCATACACCCTCCTATCGTTTTCCGTGGTTCTTCTTAAACCTGTTTTTCACCGGAGATTCTGAGAAAAGCTTCTTCGCGGCGGAAATGGCAATTCTGTTCAGCCTCTGATATTTGCTTCTGTTATTGACTCTTCAAAGCAGGACTGTCGACGATCTTCAAACATTAGTATCTACGAGATACATTGAAGAGCTCTCCCCATCCACAACGAAATTACCCAAGACGGTATCGAGAAACAGCCACGATGCCGTCAACAATGTCAACCAACAGCGCGACAGCCGCCCGAGCCTGGAGCATACACATACTTGTATTCCTGATGCTCATGGCCTTCTCAATGACCTTTGGCGCCTCCATGGTGCAGGTTTCCGTCCAAGCATACCTGCGAGAATCCGTCTGCCGACAACTCTACGTCTTGCCCCAGAAAGTTCCCGTCGACCACGGTCTATGTCACGCCAACGCCGTTAACAAGGAGTTCGAGTGGACCGAGGTCGTCGTCCTGGTCTGCCAGTCCGCCGGCGGCCTCCTGTCCGCCTACATCATGGGCAAATGGGCCGACGTCAATGGCCGGCGCGGGGCTTTTGTCTTGAGTGCTTGCCTCTGGGGCCTCTTCTCCGGCATCCTCATCACAACTATTCAGACTTCATCACGCGGCGTCCTGTGTTTCCTCTTCTTCGTCATCGGCGCTGGGAAGACGTCCGCCGAGGTCGCCGTCTTGGCCATGACGAGCGACACCACAAACGACCAGCAGCGCTCGAAACACTTTGGCCTCGTGGTGTCTTCCGCCCTTGCCGGGCTTGTGGTCTCGAACGTCATCCACAGATATGCTCCCCCCTTGGCCCTCGAATATTCGGCTGTGATCGGCTGCGTCGCCTTCTGTGTCGGCACCTGCTTCATCGTGGCGGTTCCCGAGCCCCTACGCACGCAGCTCGAGGACTTTGGAGGCGAGCCTCCCCCGGAGATCCTCCCAGCCAACCAGGCCACCAGGCCGCTGCACCGCGTTCTCTCCGCCCTGAACACTTTCCGCGCCATGCTCCTCCTTACCACCCTCGGCCTCGTCCTCGCGTTGGCGAGGACGGCACCGCCTTCCCTCGACGTCTACTTCGTCGCCAGGTATAGCACGATCATCCACTTACCCTCCACAACGACCCTCCGCGGCGACGTCGTGAGCTACTGGGCACCGCTCATCGCCATCGTCCTCATCACCTGCCTCCTTCTCCCCTCCATCTACGGCTGCTGCTCCTCATACCGCCGACGTGTCCCGGGCGACCGCATCGCGCTGCGGGACTACCGCCACCTCCTCCTCTCGTCGGGCCTAGTCGTCCTCACCAGCGCCGCCGCCCTGTACAGACACTACCTCTTCTTTCTCGTCGGCACCCTCTCCGCCGCGGCCCTCGCGGCGACCATCCCGGGCCAGTGCTGCTCCCTGATGCTGTACGGGCTCGGCGTGGCCGTGCGCTCAAAGTACGCCGGCCGGCTGTTTGGCCTCGCGGCGACGGCGGAGTGCGCGGCGACGCTGGTGCTCGGCCCGGCGATCGGTCTCGTCACGCGGGACTCGCGCTGGGGCGGTCTCGCGGCAGCGGTGGTCTTCTCTGCTTCGGTTGTCGTCTTTGGGGCCGTGTGGCGTGCCCAGGCGGTTTGTCAGGCTCCGACGTACGAGAGGCCCGGCGCCGGGAGCGGTGGCGTAGAGGCTGGGATCGAGCTTTTGGATGTGGGAGGACTTGCGGCGCCTCCTCCGACGTATGCTGCTCACCAGGAAGATCGCCCTGCTCCGATGCCGATACCGGTACCGATAATACGTTAGGTTCTACCAAAGGTACGAGGAAGGATGATGTTTCGGTTCTTGATCGGTGTGGAAGATCACACTGTTGAAGGGTCCATTACGGGAAAGGATAGAATCATAAAAAAGATGGTTCTGAGGCCTGTGTTGTGTAACATTTGCAGCTGTGCTGCTTTGTGCACTTGTTGTTCGACTTCGTTACGAGAGTAGTCAAGTGTATTGAGACATCATGGTTATTGGGAGAGATCGCGAGAAGGCTGTTATCATTTGCGACGAATCGTGTTCATCAACTTCAGAGTTGCGACGCGACCGACCTCTCTCAGAATGCAAAGTGGCAACGGACAGGCAACTTCTCATCGGATTGGGGCTGAAGTCATTTTGCCTTCCCGGAGAGAGAGAGCGACATTGGAGCGTACTAGTAGTATGATTGCGTATAATGACCGATGGAATGAAGGTGTCATAGCCTTTCAAACGGATTCTTGAATCGCGCATATGCCTTTCTTGTGCTTGAGAAAGTCTCAAGCCCCTCTTACGAATAACCTAAAGTTCTATAAGAGTTGGGGAAATACGTCGCTCTTGTGTTGCCTCTTACTAGAGAAGCGTTTGCATGACAGAACAGAAATTCTCTATGAAGCCTGTTACGGCCAGAAAGACGTGATGAGAAAGACTCGTCTTGTTGTCGGAAAATGTTAAACCTCAGTCTGCTCTTCAGGCTCCGCAAGCGGTTTCTGTCCGTACACAACGTCGCTGTTTGACGACCAGAATTAGCATCTCATCCCTGGAGCGACTACTGGCCTTTGGACATGCTCAAAAAGCATCCCAAAAGAAGTGCAAACTCACAATTCAACCAAAGCGCGGAAGACGGGCGGACTGGCCTTCAACTCGTTCCTCACGCCCATGATCTCCACTTCGACTTCCTCCCTCGTCCGTCCGAGGACTTCGGTAAACATCTTCATGGAAAACCCCTCAAGACCATCAATGGTCAGGACCAGATTCATCATGCCCAGGTCCTTGTAGTGCCGGTCCTTGGCCCACGGCGTCAGCGGCGCCTTGTACTTCTCCGCTGTGACGTTGATGAAGCCCGCCTCCCGGACGCGGCCCTCGTGCCCCGGACCGGGGGTCGGGTCGCGTCCGACGGCCCGGATGGCGCTCAGGAAGGCCTGGTTCCACTTGTACGTGGCGTGGTCCTTTGTGTAGCTACCATCCTCTGAGTAGAATTCCGGGTTCATGTCGAGGAATTCGACCCAGCCGCCCGGGTTGAGGTGGCTGAATTTTCGGGCAGTCGTCGTCAGTATCAGTAACTAGGTGCGCGTTCCTGCTCGAAAGGGGGCAGGAAATGGGGAGGTGGAGGTTTACTTGTAAATGTTGCGAACCAGCTTGGGCCAGTCCGTGATTGAGGCTGTCATGTATCGGCACATGATGAAGTCGTACTTTTTGGTCTCAACCCAGGGGCTCTCGACGTCGTCGATCTCGAACCTGACGTTAGGAGGAACCCTTCTCATTCCGTCAGCTATAATCGAACAATCAGCACCCGAAAAAAGAAAACTGACCATTGGGGCTGAATGGCGCTCAAGTCATTCCCGTAAACCTATGCCACAGCATTAGCCTTTACGATCGGTGAGGGGGGCGGGCACACATCGTAGCTTAGCTTACCTCGGCGCGTTCAAAGATGTCGCCCATTTCAACAGCCCCTGTAATGATTTTGTTCTGTCAACTCCCACCCTTTCCACATCAAGGCTATCTTTCGAATGGGTTCCCTCATACAAAGTCCAGTGCCCGTTCCAATGTCAAGGATTGATTGAATCTTTTCCCAATCGAGAGGAGCATGGAAGAGCTTGCTGCCCGTTGCCTTGACAATCATAGCATGAGCGAGATCAAGTCGATCCATCTCCTTCTAAAACGTTTTGGGACTTGTTAACCATCTGGCTTTCGACTTGATGATTAGAGACTCGTAACAAACCCCGTCATTGGGGAACTTGTAAGCTGAAATTGCATGTCAGATCTTGTCGAGAAGAGAGCGAAGTAGCGAGAGAAGAGGTTGAAGGACGTACTGCCCGGCCTGTAAGCGTGATACCGTCGTCCATACTCGACGGGGTAATCAACAACGCTCGATGATAGCGAGGCGGTGAAATTGGAACTGGAAGCGCGAGTGCTTGGTCAGCGCCGGGCGCTCATCACTCCTTCATAGTATGGGGGCATCGTACATGCGCTCATCAATTGAGGAGGTATCGTCAGTTGTCTAGCAGTTGTCCATGTCAGCGATGCCATCATCAGCCGCTAACAAACCCGGAACAGGTCACCAACATTGTCTTCCTCCTCAGGCTCAAGAGGTGCCGTTACGTTGGGTGTTGGAGTTTGTGCCGTTGTCGTCGCTGGGCTCTCGGCCTGTACAGCGGCTGGCGGTGAATCTACTGTCGTCGTCGCGCTCTCGGCCGGCACGGCGGCTGGAGGTGAACCGGCCATTCCTGTTTCCTGGTTTCTCTCCTCGGCGTACCAATTAATTCAACTTGGGGCCGAAGAAGGAAGAAGAAAAAAAAAAGAAACTCTTGACAGAGAAACAGAAAGAGCAATGGCGATACGCAAAGCTTCAACAGTATCCACTCTCTAGGGACAGGACTGAAGGAGGGAAGGAGGGGGTTTTGTAGGCATCTAAGCCGGTCTCCATAGTTGAGCGACATGGGTTCGATGAAATGAGAAGGGGAAAAAAAACTGCGGCAGGCTGCAGAATCTCCAGAACCAACAGAGCACAACTAAAAGGCCCAATTGGCTGCGCTCCGACTCCTCATTCGCATGTATATGCAAGTCAAACGTTGGTTGACGCGTCTTGTCGTCCAACATCCGACCCATTGCATGTTTACCAACGCCCTTCCCCCCTCCACCCCCTCTCTCTTCCGCCTAGATGGGAAGGCGATTATGCCATCCTTGCGTTGACAAATGCGGGTGCTCAATTGTCAATCCCCGGCGTTGGGGATTGTTTGCTTCGCAAGTTTTTCGGCATTGACGTAGCTGCTTCTTTATCGAGTCCCTAGGGTAGTCAGACTTGGGAGGGACCCGTTGCATACTTTTGTCCCTGGTATCCTGATGTTTGAATTTGACTCCGTAATAGCCAGCGACATCCCGTCAACGAGATCCGTCGGTGCAGCGTAGACCGTAAAATCAGTCCCGTCCACGACCCAACGAACAAGCAACACTCCAAAGATCACCTAGCTCACCGAATAGACAACCCTACCAAGCTCACAGAAACCAAATAGTCATCGCTGAAGAAGCCGCTTGCAAGGCCCTCTAGTACTCGTTTCTCATCTCTGTCCCCTTCCCTCCCATCTTCAGAGACAGACAGAACCGCATCTGCCTTACCACAGCTCACGCCGTACCTTACTAGATTCACGCACAGATCCACTCAGCTATAAATCAAGACCCAGCTGCTCTGAACAGTTTTCACTTCACCTGGTGCTTCGCGAAGGTTCCAGGCGCCTGAGGAGATGTGAAGTGAAGGTACGTTGACGCGACCTATACCCCTCAGAGCTTGTGATACATAGTCAAACAGTGGCAGCGTGACTCACACCAGCAGCAGACAGCAACCCCACACACTTTTACCTCTGATTACTTTTCGTCGTCCGGCTACTGTATCTACTTGAAGAAATACGGCCTAAGACGGGGGGAGGCTGGAAGGTAGCAAGACACTGATTTAGATATACTCGGAGGCGAGCAAACTGTATCCGTATGTTGTCCTGGCCGACCTAATTCATTGACGAGATCAATGAAGGACCAAATATCTGTATCCCACAGATTATACACAATCATGCCAAGTTGCAGAGGAGCAACTGTGTTGAGAACTGTGTATCCGGTTTTATATTACCTGCTTGGTTAGTTCCTCGCCGCTTGTAGGTAATGAAGTTGCGTCACTATCAACTAGCAGACTCCCAAGGGGTTATTGGTTTCCAGTAGATCATGGAAAATGAACTCACTTCTACTACGAACAGGCCCATGTAAGTATTGTAGCATGGAAGGCTTATATCTTACTCGTGGCTCAGAGGATCCACGACACAAGCTACGATGTATTGGCATCTTGCCTTCTTCAGCTAAAAGCCAGTCCTCTTCAACAAAGGGAGACATGGTACCAAGAGGCCTCTTCGTGTCCAGTTGCTCATAGTAACGGACCTCGCAGTGATGTCATTTTGCATCAACCACTAATATGGAGCTCAAAATGTATCATTCACTGGTATAAGTCACTTCATAAAGAGTAGGATCCGTAAAATAGTGGATGAATTGTCACATTTCTATTCAATGGACATATCGGTAAAGGCGTGAATGGGTTGACGTAAACCCCTATCTTCATTCCATAGCCCTTCCATAAGTAAAAGGTAGATATCCACGACGCCATTGCCTATCCATAATAATCCTGCCCATCCAACGTCGTCCCTCGGTCTGGTCCCGTAGGCCTGTTCTGACCGGGTCGTCTAACAAAAGGTAGATACGAGAAAGAAACATGGGAGGTCGTCCCTGATATATAGGCAAGTAAATAGTGTAAGTAAATCGTGATCAGGGCCGACGCCCATCATATGGTGGTTTTTTTTTTCATTACTTTTCATCTTTTCTTAATCTTTCGTGGCGTGTTCATCGCCGAAGGGACTACGTCCCCTCTCGTAAGAACTTGTCCTTTGAGACCGTCTGTCGGGGCCGGCGGCGGCTCGCCTTGTTGCCTCCTCAATCACGGCACTGAGACTGTGGTTGCTACGAACAGCAGCTGGGGATGGCTCAGGAGGGTCGGAGAAGGGGCCCTGATCGACTGACAGACTTTCATCGATGACTGTCACGGCAGCCGATTCGCGGGCGGCCGCGGTGGTGCTGGGTGGCAGAGGTGTGCCTGGTGCCGAGATCTCTTCTGATGTTGATGATGCCTTGGATCCAACGCTGACTTGCTTGGGGCCGTTGCCGTTGCCTACACGGACAACCTGCACTCTCTGGACGGGGGCGGCGGTGGCGGTGTTGGCATTGTTCAGGAAGGTAGATCCGACACTGAATGTGCTGTCACGGCTCTTGGGACGGCCAGGAGCGTATTTTTCGTAATCGACACTGGGGACGGGAGGAGTGCTGCTGCCGTTGGTGCCGACACCCATAGATTTGACACTGACCACAGCGGCCTTGGCTCGCATACCAGTCTGAGCGGGGGCTACAACAACCGCATTCTTGCCGTAGATGGTGGAAGCGATACTAGGGGCGATGCTAGATCGAGGAGCATACGAGGTTCTCGCGACAGACGTGCGGTCAGAGTAGCCAGAGATGCCGGAGTAGGTGGAGTCGCGCAATTCGCCAGGGACAAAGAAGTGTTGCTCTTCGTACGGCGACGGGCTGCTTGCAGCGGAGTTGGAGGCATGCATCGGGATAGGGGGAACAGGAGGGACGAGCAGAGTGGGTGACGTAGGAGTGGCTCGGTTTGTGACGCCTGGGATATAGGCAATCTGGATAATATTGGAAGCGCGGGTGAGTACTGTTGATGCAATAGAGTGAACGGTGTGTGTTGAGTCGCGGTTGGTTTGTCGTGGCTCGCCAGTGCTCTTCTCGTTGATCGTCTTCTCGTGGGTCGTCTCGGCATAGGACTCCTGGATAATTGACTGTCTCTTGGTCTTGATGAAGAACCTCCAGACAAGATATGTGGCGATTGCGATGACGACGAGACCGCCGATGACACCGCCAACGATTGCACCCGTGTTGGGCTTGCTGCTTGATGAGGATGATGATTTGCTGTCGTCCTTGGCGCAGATGGCCTGGGCACAGGTGCTACATGTCGGGATGGTGAAGGAGCAGAACTCGTCGGACTTGCAGTTGGTAGGGCATGTCGGTGCCTTGTCCTCACACTTGAGGCAGCCGTTCTGTCTGGGCAGGATGACTATGGAGGTCATGTCAGCAAATGAGGTTCGATAGGGGGCGACGGTGATGTCTGGTGACGCACCAGCTTCCAGCTCCTCAAGCGAACGGAGGTGCAGGTTAGGGTCAAATTGAGCCATGATGATAGAGGAAGAAATGGCCTGGGGATGAAATGAGAAAAAATAGCCAGCGACGCTGATCGAGCGATGCCGATCGACGAAGCGAGACCGTTAGGCGTACAAGGTGTCGATCAAATCGGAGGGGGTGATCAGACGGTCGAGGCGAGTGGACCGTTGGTCGGTACCAGGGAAACCGCGAGTTGGGGAAACGGCAGTAGATATAGCGAATGGATAGAAAAACCGTCGGGTAGATGAGACAAGTCGCAGTGTACTAGGGGTGACGGATACACGTTGAGGAATGGATTCGTGGCGAGGCGAGGCTGGCGTGTGGGCGTTTGCTGGACTGGAATGGACGGGTCGATGTGCGAAGTGCGAGGGAATTCGGAGCGGATAGAGTGAGAGCGAACGAGTAGTAGTATAGTAGTAGTTGGGATAACGAGTGGACGAAGAGACTAGCTCGGCATTTGAGGTGGTGGGAAAAAAGAGGCGACTAGGCGATTGAAGTGAAAGACATCAACGGCGGTTTGTCGTTTGTCGGCCGCAAGTCGACGTCGACGGGTTGACGGGGCTTGAATGTCTTTTGTCGTCGACGGGATCTTGTCTTGGTGGGCGGCGACTGAGAAGCTGGAGATGTTGGGTGGAGGAAGAGACGGAGGTGGGAAAGGGCTGCTATGAAGGAAACGAAAGTGAGCAGAGAGAGAGAAGCAGGCAAAGACAGACCGGCGCTGGGCTGGTCTTGGCTCGACTTGGCTTGGCTCGCGCTGACTGGATCGACCGGGGGGTGTCGAAGTGAAGGGAACGAACGGGATGGAGAGGGGGAGGGATGAATGGGTTGGGATGGGATGAGATGGGTGGAAGGATGGCAGATGGATGGGATGGATGGTGAGAAAGAGTGTGAGATGGGCTGCGTCCTGCTTGGGCTTGGTGCTGGTTCTTCACGGGCGTTCGGCGGCAGGCGGAGCGCAAGCTGAAAGGGGAGACGGGGGAACGAAGGACGAACACCAACAGTGGAGAGAGTGGAGGTACATGCTCTGGTACCTTGCCTTAGGTAAGTACCTACCTTACCTACCTAGGTACGGAGCACATAGATACGTATCTTTTAATGAGGGAAAGAGGTGGACTGGCACGACTTTCCGGTTGGAAAAGGCGCAGGTGGGTGGGACCTAAGGCAAGAGCGGAGGGGGAGAGCGAATCTGCGGGACACAGGCACGAGATTGAGAGGGCAGGGGGTATGCTGTTAGCGAAACGTGAGGACCGGGGCAACTTCCTGCTCTGATTGGTCATGGTCCCCAGATGGCAAGAGCAAAAGGGGGGGCACTGCTCGCTTGTGGATCCCTTGATTCCCCCGACACCCCTGGCTAGAGCCGGGCGAGGGTCCAAGACTTCCAGGGCAAGGCCTAGAGTCTGGACTGTGCAGCCCGCCCATCCACCACCTTGAACCACAAGGACCATGGGAACCCCATCCATCAATCTCCTCTTCGCTGCATACTGCAAAGTGCCAACACTACCTTCCTCCGTCCTTGGGGAATACCGCGACCAACTCGACCAAGGCAGTAAAGTGCCCAGAAAGCGCTGCACCGTTCGCACCACCATCGACCCTCCAAGTACCCTGCACAGTACCTCGGGCACTAAGATAGGTACTATTCAGTGTGGTGCACGCTGTTTGTGACTTTGTGGACATTGCCCAGCGCGCCATTTTCCATCTTTTCATCACCTTGCCTCAGAGTACGAAGTATTGCCTACCAATCAGACCATGCCAGAGCCGGAATTGACCCATCTCCACCGTCTTACGCACTCTCCACGACTCGACAACACCATCTGCGGAATATCACTTCCACCCTCTCCATTGAGCGATATTGGGAGAGGCTCCCATCCTGATGATCCTGATGGCTGCAACTGCAGACTGCAATCTATCATCTGCTGTCTGCCCCCGCGTGCCCTACCTCCTCCCTCATGGCGGGCTGGCTGTCGGGACGCACCCATGCTCACTTACTAACTTCGCAGAATGCTTGGCCAAACAAGCGAGCTACGCGGTTGCTACGCAGCTCGGCAGTGGCAGCCCATCATCCATGGACCATGGATCATGGACCGTGGACCTTGGTTGCCATCCATCCAGCATTAATGTTGTTCGTCAATACAATAGAGTTCGTGCGTCTCAACCTGACAACCCGCCCGTCGTCCGATACGAGCCAGCGAGACATGACACGGCCTTTCTCTACTAAATCGGTAAACACAAGCTCTGGCACAGAATATTTCGTCCCAAACAGGATAACCTGATTCTCGACAAGTTGGACCTCTTGTGAGAATAGGAAACAAAAAGGGATACCATTCCCCAGTTTCCCACAATTATGCTGTTTCCAAATCTCGCAACACTTGAAGAAACCCGGCCTCTTACAAACCTCCTGTTAAGCTTCAATTCGCCTGGTACGGGTCGAACATTCTTTTCGTGCCGTCGACGTCGCACCGTCCCAGCTCGGGTACGTTTGGCATCCGGATCCCTTACAACTTTGGTCCTGCAGCGAGAACCTCAGTCGGCCCATGCAGCAGTACACCACGCCAGAAACATCACGATTGCCGACTCAGCCCCCCCGTTCCGACTCAGAACATCTCAAGATACGAACTCAACTGAAACGAATGGGGTCCAGTGACAGCGACAGCGGGACGACATCATCACGGGCGAGCTAATCGCGCCAGAAGGCCGTCAAAGAGGACCGTGAGGGTTGACAACCTGGGCTGACGATAGTCACTCAAAACGCCTTCCCGTGTCAGGCCTCCCTGTCTACTCGCCTGCTGTGATTTGCAAAGAAAAAAACCCCACAGCAGTTTTCACCATGAACCAGCGTCGAGCATTGATCGAGGCTTGACTCTAGAGTATGCTCCTTGCCTAACCCGCGCTGTGTTTCCAACATTGTCCCCGCTGCCCCTGCCTGTCTGCGAACCGAATACAGTCAAGCGGAAGCCAAATCGTCAGGGCCCTGCGACATATTCGGGGGCCGTCATAACGGAGGGATCCTGCTTAGCACGAGAAAATTCCGTATTCTGAGGCATTGGATCCGAAACTTCGAAACAGACAACGAGAACGTGCGTTCGCGTGGCCCTGGAGGCCATGAGAGCTCTAGACCACGAGATCTGCACTCATCACTCTAGGGATTTTCGTCTTGGCCTTGTGTGAATGGGGGGACAACAGTAGAGTTCCCCCTTCTCATCTGACAGCAAGCAGCGCTAGTCGCTCGAGACTGAGAGGTAGATATTTGTGGAACCGGGGGCGATCACTTCCAACTTACGCATATCCACCTGCCGCTCTCCCGCCGAAAGTGCTCAAGCTTTTAGCAATGCTGTGCCGGGCACCACCGTCCACCACCGCATCGCACGGCGCGCACACACGCTCCCTCGACCTCTGGGTAATGCAGGGCATATCTTAGTGTCCGGCGGACCAACCGCCACGCCGCGTGGTGAAGATGGCAGACGTCGCCATTCCAGGTCTCATACCTACCGAGCGCTAACACTGCGTTGTGCATGCTCCGGCAGCCCGCAGGACGGCATTTCGTGCGTATTGTTAGCACTGCATAAGTTTGGCTTCGGACTTTCGCCTGCTGACTGTGCGTCCTGTCCTACTCGGGCTTGGTATTTTTGCTATCGCTCCTGTCCCACTCTCAGCTCCGATCGGTTATACTGAGCGAGGTAAGCACATAAGTCAGTTTGCTTCGACTATGCCAGCTCATTTGATATTGGTTTGTCACGCAGCTGCACTCGACGCCAATCTGGGTAAGCCACGAGATGACAACGAGATGAACCAAGAGCGGCATGCAAAGAAGAGAGATTCGATGGATGCAGAGGGAGACATTGGTTCGTCAAGGGCACTGCAGCCAGTCAGCCCCTGCTGCTGTCAAAGAAGCAACTCTTCGGGCTGCCAAACCTTCATCCAAGTCTTTTCTCATCTAGAATCGGGTGTCTCAGCCAATCATAGGCCCTCATTCACCGGAAAGAAGCAACGTCTAAATTCTATTTACCATCCCCTTCCCTGTCAGAACTCTTTTCTCGCAATCCTTGAGTGTTTTTTTTTTTTTTTTTTAAACAACAACCTTTGCATTGCCATCTTGATTAGCCACCCGCAGCACACAATTAATTACCTCTCAGACCAGGGCGTCCGTTTTTCCTTTTCACGACTCTCCGCTTTCCAAATCTGGCCCATGCCATCTACCAATGGACCAATCGCAAGCTCGTAGACCGCGCTGTGCAAATTCCCGCCCGCGGATGTTGGCCGCCGCGAAGCTGAGTTTTCTGGAATTACTCCAGATCCGGACTTTCCATGTTCCAAAAGATTATCATGGACTCTTCGTTTCTTTGTCCATTTCTTTGCTTTTCCGAGAACTACTAGTGTAGTTAATGACGCGGGCACCCGCTCCGAGGGGAGGAACTGGGTACCTACCTACCTACCGCCTTTCTCCCCGCGCGACTCTTTCTTCCCTCACGAAACTCTGATGAAATACGAAGAATTAGACTCGCCAGCGCGGCTTTTTTCCAGGGTGCTGCAGTGCACAAAGAAAGCCTTGGCAGGTCTTGGCCTGTGAGGACAACCCAGTCTACGGTACTCGGTATGGGAGTTCCCCTCCGTTGGACACGTGTAGTTGAGGTTTCTAGTCATCGTTAGTTTGCCACGGCGATACCTCTTCCGGCGCCGGCAAGACTCCCCGGGTTCCGGATCCGGACGGTGGCGGCCGAGGAGGAGGAGCGGGAAGAAGTAGAACAACGTCAATTGGCAGTTTTGCGTGATTTTTTTTCGTTTCTTGGACTGATCCAGGATGAGACATCACGTCCGTTGGACACGCGGCGAACGATATCGATGCGGCGTTGCCTGTTCCGGCGTCCTGGGCGTGTACTCGGAAGTTGTAAGGGCCGACTATGATGGGCTTTTTGCCCCGCTCTCTTCTTCTTCGACAATTTTCTTTGGGCTAGAAGATGGCTTTTGAGGCTAGCAGGGCGGGTGGAATCCCTCTCGTTTTCCGTTGAGCTCTCTCTCT